CTTCTAAATAAAAAGAATCAGAAAGCAAATGTTGACACTGTTTTTGCAGCCCAGAAGGAAGAGGAGATCAGGCTAGAAGTCACTCACAGCTAAAACTGCCAATGATAATTCAGATAACATTGTCCATCATGGCAACCTATTTCAAAAGAATTTAAAGGCAAGCAGACCCATAAGTTTAAGAAAGTTTAGTCACTCAGTCATGGCCACTTTGTGACCTCATGGGATAAACAGATTACTGAAGAAGAATTTAATATAGGTACCTAAAAATAAGTCTTTGACTAGTTGATTCAATTGTCTAATTATGCTTTCCATTCACCCTTTCAAAATATATTTGAATACCTATTTAATGAATAAGTAACATAAAGAGCTCAAGACTTGCCCTCAAGGAACTTGTAAATGGCATGAGGCACACTCGGAAATGCAGATACGGTAATAACATCAGATTTCTTCACCTGCCAGAGAGGGGAACCAAGTACAGATGGATTAGAAAACATTTTAAATAAAGCTCTTGTAAGGTTTTATTGGTCCTTGACTGAAGGGCAAGGTTTTTTGGATCAGGATACTAAAGTAATATATATTCATTTCAGAAAATTTGAAGAACACAAAAAGCACATAGAGGCAAATTAAAAACGATCTGTATCCCTACTACTCAGAAATAACTAGTTTTCACCTGTTGATCCATTACCTTCTACTCTTTTTCCTGTTAAAAAAAAAAAAAAGGAACTAGACTTCAGCTTTTTTTTCTTGCCTAACTCTCAGAGAGTACTTTTCTTTATCATTGTGGGTTAAACAACATACACACACACAACTTTCTCCCAGAGCAAGTCTATGAGATTTCTCCTGTCACTGATTTTGCCAGAAACATGCTTAATCTGCATGTAAAGTTCTTCCTTCATCTCCAGAAAATATTTTCTGTTACATCTTTGATTTGGGGCTCAGTTCCTCCATCAGAGACCAGCAACCTATAGGATACTTTTTATTCCCTGTCCTTATCTCTTACCCTCTCTTTGATCATTTTTGTCTTTTGTTTCCACCTCTATTCTAGGAGTATGAAGAAAACCTTGGAAGGAAAGCTATGACCAACCTAGACAGCATATTAAAAAGCAGAGACATTACTTGGCCGACAAAGGTCCATCTAGTCAAAGCTATGGTTTTCCCAGTAGTCATGTATGGATATGAAAGTTGGACCATAAAGAAAGCTGAGCACTGAAGAACTGATGCTTTTGAACTGTGATGTTGGAGAAGACTCTTGAGAGTCCCTTGGACTGCAAGGAGATCCAACCATTCCATCCTAAAGGAAATCAGTCCTGAGTGTTCATTGGAAGGATTGATGCTAAAGCTGAAGCTCCAATACTTTGGCCACCTGATGCGAAGAACTGACTCATTTGAAAAGACCCTGATGCTGGGAAAGACTGAAGGCAGGAAGAGAAGGGGACAACAGAGGATGAGATGGTTGGATGGTATTACCAACTCAATGGACATGAGTTTGAGCAAGCTCCAGGAGTCAGTGATGGACAGGAAAGCCTGGTGTGCTGCAGTCCATGGGGTCACAAAGAGTCGGACACAACTGAGTGACTGAACTGAACTGAACATTCTAAGAGAACTACTCAAGTTTGCACTCCACTTCACTGATTCCATTTTCCACATCAGTTCTGTTCTTTACTAACTTACTAACTTCAATGTGGATTTTAAATCTACCATTGCTTGCTTTGGGTTGGTTTGGGGTTTGCATGTGTTTTAGTCTCTTTACAACTGTTGCTTATTTTATCCATCACTTCCTTTCTGTTTCATCTTTGTTTTGTCTTAGAGGTAATGTCATCTTGGACTTATAACCCAGATGATAGTTCTCTGTCCTACCGGGGTCACACTGTTCTTAACCACAACAACAGAACATCTATCATCTTCATTTTGTGTGCTAGGAAGCCCAACATGACACCTAGTATCTCCAAGAATTCTTAAAGGAATTATATTTCTCCTATTCACTGTGGCTTTGATTTCCTATTTCAGTAGAATTCCAGATTCTAGATTGGCACTTTTCTCTGGCACATATGGTTCCTTTTCTCTGTGTGTTACCTCACATTCCACATCCCTCTTCACCCCGTCCCTGCCCCCACAAAGCACAGTCCAGCCACAGGGTTGATGCAGATTGTCACCGAAGGTTGCAGATACAGAGCACAGTAAAGAACTTAAACTTGACCATCGGAGGTCCCATGCTTAGCACTTCCTCAGTCATTCCTGCCCTGGGAACTGGTCCTGTCTCCCAGAAGAGCCCCGCCTACCCTCTCAGCTTCTCATATTCCTCCCATTTCCTGCTCACCACTGCCCCTCCCCTTCCCAACTGCAAGCAAGTTCAAGGAACTGTGAATTGAGGGCCAAGTGGATTTTCCTCAGTTCACCTCTACTGGCTTTAAAATTCTCATCCTATGCTCACTTCGGCAGCACATATAAAATTCTCATCCAATCCCTTTTCTTCTATTTTAGCATGGCTTTATGTCAATCTTAGTGTTTGATGCCATTAAAACTTTTCATCTCTGTTACTGACATTTAATAAGAAGTTGAAAATAGCTACATTCAAATGCCACTTTGAACAAATATTCTGGGCTGTTTATCTACAAAGTAATTAATATATTTACTTGCTTATTTATGAAATGTTTCATAGCATTTACTGTGTGCCAGAGATCATTCCAAATACTTTACTGACATTATCTCATTTAATTTTCACTACCCATCCCATGATATATAATGACCCCAATCCTTTTCATCTGCACACAGATAAAATTTAGGTCAAACCATATAAATAATTTTGCATTTTGTTCTTATCAGATTCATATTATGACCATGTTCCCCATTAAAAAAATATTTTTCAAACACGTGATTTTAATGGCACATGGCAAATTTGCACAATTTATTTTGAAGACTGCTCTTTTATAAAAATCTCTGCATTCTTATTCTTCATACACGCAGTTTTTACAAAAGAAACTGTGGGGTCAAAAGGATAAACTTGGAACAACTCACTTTAGAAGGAGATGAAAATATCAGTTTCATGACATCTTCCCCCAGTCCCTGGTATTATTCCTCAACTTCCTATAAATAGGAAACATGAAAGGGAGCTTTCTGTTTGTGGGAATGAGGTGTGTGTGTGTGTGTGTGTGTGTGTGACAGTAAAGAAAGAAATACGAGATGGTGTCAAAAAGATATACATGTTTTTAATAAGACTTCCAGAGGTGACACAAGTTGCTGTAGCAACTGATACATGCTGTCAGGAGTTAAGAGAGAAAAATTGTAGTTGATAAATAATATTTTAAGAACTCGTGCTTAAATTATTTAGGTGAGACATTATGTAACCTTGTGCAGTTAAACATCAGAAATTGTGAAAAAGAGTTACCAGCAAAACTTCGTACCAGTATCTCTCCTTCATAAGGGAACAGAGAGAAATATACAATCCTATATTAAAATCAGTGACAGCAATCTTTTTTTTATCACTCATCATCTATCTATTTGTTCAACCCAGTTTTGGCGCCTACTATTTACCAGCATTTACTATGTGCTGGAAATGAAGAGAAGAATGAGATAAAGTCCTTGCTCCCAAGAACTCACTACAAACAAAGATATAAATAAATAAGTACACTAGAAGATGATAAGAGCTGCTCCAGAAATATCAACAAACCCATTAAGTAGGAAGTGACTAGCTCTGCCTAAGGAGTGAAAATAGGTTTGACCCCAGACATGAGCATTTGATCTGGGTACTGAAGCATGAATAAGAGTTTTCCATTCAGAGAAGGGGGAGGAAAGGGCTTTCCAGATAAAACAGAGAGCTTAGCCTTCGTTGCATAAGTCAGAATATATGAATTGCTGTGTCTTGCATGGGTTACAGGTATGTAACAAAATACTGATTCACTGTACTCATAGGTGGGCCAGGTGGAACCTGAGGAGCTAGCATCCCTAGGTAAGCCCCTCCAGCCCTGCACAGGCTCATCCCCCTCATTCCCACATACTGTAGACATGCTATTTTCTACAATGCTGTGATGCAAAAAATGTTAGGAAGCACTGCCTCAGGTTGCTGAGAGATGACTGAGGTTTGTAAGGCTGGGAGTAATAATAAGATTTCATTGGAATTTTTAACAACTCTGACAGTGCGATGGCAGCCAGGAGTGGCGGGAGACTGACTGCCAGGAAGGAAGACATAGGAGGTTACAACAGATTATATGTTCAGATATAGTCTCTGTCTCACCAGGTAGGGCCCCTCCCTTAGTAGGATCACACTGCTGCCCGAGGATATCAGGATTGATCACATAACTTCCTTTGATCAATGAAATATGAGTGGACTGGCCCTTTACCCTTCCTTTGCGAGCAGAAGCTCTGAGAGCATATCAAAGGTTTACTATTACACAGATTTCCCTCTATAAGAGGCCAACACATTCCAACAGAGTCCATCTGCAATGAAGAGGACATGAAGCAGAGCTGTGGCTGACCCTCAAAGGTCATTAATGTGAACAAAACATAGATCTCTGTTGCTATAAATGACTGAGACCTGAGGGTTATTTGCTGCAACTTAATCTGACGGATACAGGGGCTAACAAGCTTAGCCACACTACAGAACATGAGTGCCTGAAACGACAACTAGTCCTCTCAGAGTCAGTAAATCAATTAGTGGAGCTTCTTACATGATCAAGTTGCAAGAGGAATATGCTGTTTTACAATGGCTTCCAACCAGGGGTATGAAGATCACGGGCCATCTTTTACAAGGAAGACATGTCCTGCCAGGGATGGACTGATCACATGCATTGTGTTCCTTCAAACTTACATTCTGCAAATATCTAATCAGCATTTGTTTGCTCTAAATGGGCAGTAGCTGATTTGCTAGCAGAGCTTATTGCCCACTATCTTAAATCTGCATGTGAATCACAAGCAGCAATCTGAATAATCTGTCTTTGCAACAATGTGTGGCAATCAGAAATAATGCAGTGATTGTCGACCCACACCATGGAGGACTAGCTTACCTTTTGGGTAAGGTCACTGGCTTCATTGATGTACCGATCTCGTTCCTTTTCCAGTTGAAAGATGATCTTTCTCTGCTTCTGAGCCTCCTCTTTGTAGTTTTGGATTTCTTCTTCCAGATTCCTCTTGGCTTGTTCATGGAGCTTTACCAGGTCTATCTGTTTCTGGGTTGCACTGACCGCCTTAAGCATATTCTGAAAATAAGGACAGCACCGAAAAATGTTGGTGGGTTTTTGGTTAAATTTACTTGTTGCCTTAATCCTAAAATAATTAGGTGCATTGTTTGGGAGATGAATAAAAATAATCATATTTTCTACAGATTACTAAGAGCTTGTTATGTTAATTTTGCTCAGAGCACTACAAACACACATGCTGCTGCTAAGTCACTTCAGTCGTGTCCGACTCTGTGCGACCCCACAGACAGCAGCCCACCAGGCTCCCCCATCCCTGGGATTCTCCAGGCAAGAACACTGGAGTGGGCTGCCATTTCCTTCTCCAATAAACACACATAAAAAGGCACTAAGAGACAACACCCCTAGGAAGTGGGCCTATTTTGCTCCCATATTAGGGGTAGGAAACTGGGAATAAGAAGATAAGCTACTTGCCTAAAAGTTCATGGGCTTCCGCAGTGGCTCAGCAGTAAAGAATCTGCCTGCATTATAGGAGGAGCAGGAGACACAGGTTCGATCCCTGGGTTGGGCACATCCCCTGGAAGAGGGCATGTTAACCCACTCTGGTGTTCTTTCCTGGAGAATCCCATGAACAGAGGAGCCTGGTAGGCAACCGTCCATAGGCTCACGAAGAGACAGACACGACTGAGCACGTACGTACGCACACACAAGTTCACACAACGGAGGAGTGACAGAGCTAGGATTTGAATCCCAAGCTGGCTGACCCCAAAGCCAATCTCTATTCCAACTCTAGCCTTTCACTTGTGAAGTTAGAACAGCTGAACCCAATCATGTATCACAGGCTTTGACTACAAAATAAAAACCTTCTTATTAAAAATACAGATAGCCAGAATTAATATATGATCCAACAACATCACTTCTGGCCATCTACTCAAAAGAACTGAAACAGGTGTCCAAACAAAAACTTGTACATGAACATTCACAGCAGCACTATACATAAAAACCAAAAGGGGAAAACAACCCAAATGTTCATCAGCTGAAGAATAAATAAACAAAATGTGCTATATCCATACAGTGGAATACTACTCATCCACAAAAAGGAATGAAGTAGACACTACGACATGGTTGAAGCCTGAAAATATTATCCTGAGTGAAAGATGTCAGACATAAGAAGTCACACATGGTATGATTCCAGTTATATAAATATCCGGAATGGTCAAATCCACAGAAACAGAAAGCAGATGAGTAACTTCCAAGGATGGGAGGAGGGGAAAGCGGGATGTGACTGCCTGACAGGTACAGGGTTTCCTTTTGGGTGATGAAAATGTTCTAGAACTAGATTCATGATGTTTTACACAACATTGTGAATGTACAAAATGTCACTAATGGCAAATTTTGTTTTCTGTGTATTTTACTACATTAAAAAAGAATTATAACCTGGTTTAAAAAACACACACACACACAGATGCTCACATCCCAACTCCAGAGAGTCTGATTCCATGGATCTGGGATGAGACTCTGGCACCTACATTTTTTTTTTTTTTTTTGGAACGCTGCCCTGGTGGTTTCTGATGCTACTACAATGGACGTGCCTTGGTTTGGCTGCGCAAGAAGTCAGGTTGTTCCTCTGGAACACAGAATTAATACAGTGCAACTCTGCAGCCATGTTCATGATGGACCACAGCACATCTGCTTCTCTAGCCACAGGTGAATGGACCCAGCGACTCCCGAAATAGAGCCTCTAGATTTTTGTAACTCAGTAGAAGATGTAAACTCAGGAGCTGTTTGTTGGTGATAGCTTTTTTCTGCCATTTGGACAGGGACAGAGAGAAAGAGAGATGATTTCACTGAAAGACAGAAATGAAGCTATGACTCAGCTGGAAGTCTAGTGGTGGAGGGAGAGGGCTTTCTGTGCATCCCAAGAGTGCAAGGCCAGGTTTTCCTCGTTCCTGAGGCCCAGCTGTATCCTTAGGTTCTATGTTGCTGTTTAGTTGCTAAGTCGTGTCTGACTCTTTGTGAACTCATGGACTGTAGCCTGCCAGGTTCCGCTATCCACGGGATTTTCCAGGCAATAATACTGAAGTGGGTTGCCATTTCCTTCTCCAGGGGATCCTCCCAACCCAGGGATCAAACCCATATCTCCTACACTGGCAGGCAGGTTCCTTACCACTGAGCCACCTGGAAAGCCCCCTGGGTTCCAAGAGGCACTTCATAAACCCTTCCCAAATCTCTAACCAATATAGACCTGCAGTCAGGACTGAAAACCACTGGAATATAAATTGGTTTAAAAAAAAAAAGGACATGAAACCTTGGTTGGATGACACCGTAGAAAAATGGAAAAGGTCAACTTTACTTTCAAATACTGAATTAAACATTTGCTCTATGAAAAATAAAGTCCCTTCAACATGACACTGAGAGAACCAAATATATGAACATTGCTGCCTATCAAAACTATGTCACTCATTCATTCAACGAAGGTGGCATTTCAAGTCAGTGAGGAAAGGATGTATTATCAATAAAGGTTGACTGCACACCTGCAAAGGAGCAGGCGCTCTGTCAGGCACTAAGGATGCAATGGCTGGGAAAGAAAAAAAGTTTAAAAAGTACCTGCCCTCAAGACGAAGCTGATGTAGTCAAATCAAACAAATAAGTGTAAGATTAAAGTGTTAGGTGTCCTATTGTGGCAGAAAATCCAAAGGCGGTTTACCAGAACATACAAAATACAAATGGATTAAATGGTGTATATGTTACAAAAAATTTTTTTAAATCTAAATCCAACAATAGTATTTATATTATTTATATTATATTATTTATATATTTATGTTATTTATAAATTTATAGAATAAAGGCACAGTTCTAGGATTATGCAAAAAAAAAAAATTAATGACTTTCTGAAGGAGTGCTCAGCATGTAAAGGTACTTAATCTTCTACTCTTTTCTGAGATTCCCTTAATAGTCTGCTCTAAGCTACAGGATAATCTACTTCGTTAACATTTATTCATTTCTGGGAAACCTAAAGAAATATTAAAATAATAAATATTAAAGTAATAAAAAAATTGAAATGAATGAATATAGGCTGTATCTACTTTGATAAGATGAAGCTCTCTTGACCAAAAGCCAGCAGGCTGTCTGCTGTGGAAGCAGCAGCCTCCCCACTCTACACCTGGCCCATCGCTTCATGCTTCATTCTCCCTGGAGGGAATTCTTGAGCAGGAACACGTACTCGGGATCTTTGAATGCAGTCAATCTCCTCAGAGTGACTGTCAATGGAGGTAACCCTCTAGAAGGGGCTAGGAGAGGAAACAGGGGTGGGGGCGGGGTCTGCCTTGACTGGACGATTTCTAAGCCTCAAGCTCCCCACAGCCTCTGCCTCAGCTTTGGACCATACTGGGCTCAAAGACTAGGAGGAGTAAGCTCCAGCAGCAGAAACCAAGGCCTCCAACACTCCAGAAAAGATGGAGGAAAGGTTAGAGACTCTTGGAATGGCCAACCGGCCATCCTTTAAACACCTAAAAGTTAAAGTTTATTAGAACTCACTTGTATTTTCTGGATTGGCACAAAATTGCAAATTACAGATATTAAAATCAGAAATCTTGTTCAACTGCTTAGATGCCAAATAAGACACCAGCAATAGGAACAGAAACCACAAGACGCTCTGAAATCTCCTGCTAGTTTATACGATAATTCTTCAAAGTCCCTTTGTGCTCACAGGTGATACTGTGGTTTCAATTCACAATTGAGCACTATTATTAGTTCTAATCTACTTTTGTTTGGCTCAGAGTTTTCTTTTCCCTGCAACCGGTTATAGGCAGATATTATAGCACTAAAGAAAGATATTTATTCACCAGTGTTACTGTAACAAACGCACCTTATTCAATATGTCCCTTTCTCTCAGAAGCTCATCCATTGCTTTCTTATCAAGTTCTGCTTGTTTCTTTGAGGCTTCCACCTCTAAATCACCAGAGAGAAAAACAATAATAAATATAAAGAGAGCCTGCCAAGAAAGAATCTGCCAAAGTGACATGAAAACTGCTTTATATATTTATCTGTAGCTATAAAACTGCTTTCTGTTGAGTGGTACGTGATCTTCATTATAACTCAGTGAGGTAAGTCTTCCCATCCCACGAGAGAGATGGAAACTGAGGCTTAGAGACCCATACACCAAGGGTCTGCAGCCAAGAGATGACAGGGCTAAGGTTGGGAGTTGGGTCTCTCTGACTCCAAAAAGTCCTAGCTATTTAGTCCCTAAGTTGTGTCGGACTCTTTTGTGATCCCATGGACTCTAGCCCTCCAGGCTCCTCCAGACATAGGATTTCCCAGGCAAGAATACTAGAGTAGGTTGCCACTTCCTTCTCCAGGGGATCTTCCTGACTCAGGGATCAAACCCATGCCTCCTTCACTGGCAAGCAGATTCTTTACCACTATGATGCTAGGGCAGCCCCAAAAGTCCTTGCTCTCTTGAAATATTTTTTATTATACAAGTAATTAGAAACACAGGAAGAAATTGGAAAATAAGCAATTCCAAAAAATAAACTAAAGGGAAAATTTTTTTAAAAATCAGAATCTAGGAGGGGACATATGTATACCTATGGCTGATTCGTGTTAATATTTGGCAGAAACCAACACAACACAATTCTGTAAAGCAATTATCCTTCAATTAAAATAAACAAATTTATTTTAAAAAATCGGAATCTACTTAAGATTTTGATGTGTCTCTTTCCTGACATTTTCCTATGCAAATACATGTGTGTATACAAATACATTTATACACCACATACACCAACAGGGAGCCATAACACACATACAGTCTTGTAACTTACTTTTATAAGTAACCAATATAAATAAATACCTCTCTATAATATAAATGTGTATCTACATCAGACTGTTTAAAGACTTCATATTTCACTGTATAAAAATGTTTAATTTATTAAGCCAATCCTTATCTTAACATTTAAATTGCTTCTTTTTATTTTTTGTTTTGCAATTATAAGCAATAATCTTATGAAAGTTCCTGCTCATTTGGTCATCTAGGAGAGGAAGTCCTTGAATCAAAAGTGATTTTCTTTTTAAAGACCTTTTTCTCCAGCTGCCAATTTTCTCTCCAAAAATTAATAGCAGTTTAAATCCACACCCAAACTAGAACAGTTATTACCATTCTCCTTGATCTCTGACAACCTGATAGCTTTTCCTAAACCAGTATGTCTATATTTAATTCACATACCTTTAATTGGTAGTGAACTCGACTACTTTCTCATGTTTCATGATCAATTATTTGTTTTCTGTTTTTCAAATTGCCCACACTAGCCTTCCGCCCATTTTTCTCATGAATTATTTACCTTTTTGTGAATTTGAAAGAGCACCTTATATATATTAATAATGAGGATACTAACTCTTTGGCAATATTTTAGTCAATTTGTCTTCTTATACAGAGTCTTTGGGGGCTTCTCTGGTGGCTCAGTGGTAAAGAATCTACCGCCAATGCAGGAGACACAGGTTCAATCCCTGGGTCAAGAGGATCCCTTGGAGAAGGAAATCGCAACTTCACTCAAGTATCCTTGCCTGAGAAATCCCATGGACAGAGGAGCCTCGCAGGCTACAGTCCATGGAGTCACAAAAGAGTTGGGCACAACTTAGCAACTAAATAGCAGTAGAGTCTTTTGTTGCTAAAAAATAAATAAATAAATAGCTTTAATTTCATTAAATCTCTCCATCTTGGCTTTACTATTCCTACATTTGACCTTAACTTTTTTCCCAAAAAGTAGTTTATTGTCTTACTATCATTTTTTAAATAATCCATACTGCACACTGCTATGAAACAACACCTTTATCTTAGATGATAATCACGGGTCTTTTTGTAGCCTTTCCAATCTTTTCCATTGATCTGTTTATTCACACATCTTCACTAAACTATTTGATTACTAAAGCTTTATAATACATTTAAACACCTGGTAAAGGCTAATGCTCCCTTCTCACTCTTCTTTTCCAGAATTTTATGGCTATTGTCACCTGCTTATTCTTCTGGAGGAACCCTAGAACCAGTTTTCAAGTCCCAAGCAACATAACTCACTGAAATTTTTATTGGAAATACTAAATGTGCAGATTAATTTGGACAGATTTATATTTATATCATATTGAGTTTTCTCATCCAGGAACTTGGTGTATTGGTCCATTTTTCAAGTCTTCCTTTATACCCCTCAAAAGAATTCTGTAATGTTTTATATATATAGGTCTTACAGATATTTTGGTAACTTTATTCATAGATATTTTATTACTTTAGTTGCTATTGTGAAAGGGGGGTCTTCCATCATACATTGTAACTGATTCTTTGTAGGAAAGAAAGCCATTGATATCTATATATTTCTTTTATAACCTGCCACCCTGTTGAACTCCTGTTAGTTCTGGCAATTTTTCAGTTCACTTCTTGGATTTTGTGGCAGGAAATCATAACATATGGGGGCCTCGTGCTCCTAACCATTATGTGCAATGCCACTGTCTGATAGAGCACATCAAAAGGAAGTGCTCCCTAAGAAGAAATAACGATGCTAACGAGATCTACAAAATAACCAGAAGAGAGAGCACGATGACTTCTTTAAACATGATTTAAGAATGAAGAATTGGGGTCAATACTTAATGGGGAAATTTTTTCTGCACAGCTTAGAACTACTGCCTGCAAAAATACAGAAATTTTAATATAGGAGTGCTTTTGAAATTCACTAAGCCAATTAAAGCTCAACATTCAGAAAACTAAGATCATGGCATCTGGTCCCATCACTTCATGGGAAATAGATGGGGAAACAGTGGAAAATGTATCAAACTTTATTTTGGGGGGCTCCAAAATCACTGCAGATGGTGATTGCAGCCATGAAATTAAAAGACGCTTACTCCTTGGAAGGAAGGTTATGACCAACCGAGATAGCATATTAAAAAGCAGAGACATTACTTTGCCAACAAAGGTCCATCTAGTCAAGGCTATGGTTTTTCCAGTGGTCATATATGGATGTGAGAGTTGGACTGTGAAGAAAGCTGAGTGCTGATGAATTGATGCTTTTGAACTGTGGTGTTGGAGAAGACTTGAGAGTCCCTTGGACTGCGAGGAGATCTAACCAGTCCATCCTAAAGGAGGTCAGTCCTGGGTGTTCATTGGAAGGACTGATGCTGAAGCTGAAATACTTTGGCCACCTCATGCGAAGAGTTGACTCATTGGAAAAGACCTTGATGCTGGGAGGGATTGGGGGCAGGAGGAGACGGGGACAACAGAGGGTGAGATGGCTGGATGGAATCACCAACTCAATGGACATGAGTTTGAGTAAACTCTGGGAGTTGGTGATGGACAGGGAGGCCTGGCATGCTGCGATTCATGGGGTCGCGAAGAGTTGGACACAACTGAGCGACTGAACTGACTGACTGACTGAAGCCAATTACAAAATGTGCTCTACCAGTTCTACCTTTGTGTGTGTGTGTGTGTGTATCTGTCATTGAAGGTACTAGATTGTAAATTCATGCTACACTGTAAGCATCCTGAGGGCAGGAACCTCCATGCATCCAATGCCTAACATAATGCCTGCACACAGTATGGACTCAATTTATTGAATGAGTACATAAGTGGAGAAATGATCAATATCAACTGCAACTGTGCCTCAGTAAAAGATTGTTTCCGATGTCTTAGAAGGAAATATATTGGCACTTCTCAGGGACTTTAGTGACAAATATTTCTAATAATCTTATCTAGAGATCTAGATTTTACTTAACTTTTAGGGAGGCAATGTATATGTTTATGCTTCTGGGTATGTCATCTCAGTCAGTGAGTTACGGCTGAGTTCAGTGAGGTGTTCCTGCCTCACATTTTCTGGGGCACTCAGAATTCAAATCCCAATCCCTCTGTCTCCAAGTCTCTGAGCTATTTCTACCATACCATATTTAACTAGTATATACCATATTTTTAATTATATTCTTTTCCAGAAGGGGATAGGATTCTCTCATTACTTTTATAAGCAGTAATATATCTGGATAATAATAGGTGACATTTAGTAAGCACTTACTACATGCTAGGCACTGTCCTTTCTAGATATTAGCCATTTCATCCCCAAAAGCTAAATGAGAAGGTGGCATCTGAACCAAGGCATATCTGACTTCAGCGTCTGTATCCTTAATGATGTTTCTATACTACCTGGCCTCCTGTGGCACTTAAATTTTCCCTCCACAGGTCAAAGTGATAGTTCAGTAGAATAGGAATTTTCCATATGGTAAGAGGAAAGGAGTTGGAAGCCATTTATTTTTGTCTTGCTGATTCTGGGTACACTATTGTGTCATATACTGCTCATGGGGAATATTCAGGTTTCATTTCTCCTGTATCTTCTGTGAAAAAGAAAACTGAAGGAAAGATCATGTAGAACCCAGACTTAAGAGTATACGTGCATGCCAAGTCACTTCAGTAGTGTCTGACTCTTTGTAACCCTATGGACCATAGCCGACCAGGCTCCTCTGTCCATGTGATTCTCCAGGGAAGAATACTGAAGTGTGTTGCCATTTGCTCACGCAGGGGATCTTCCCAACCCAGGGATCAAACCAGCATCTCTTATGTCTCCTGCTGTTACTTACTTCATTGACAAATACTGAGCAATACTTTGGGCTCAACATAATCTGTTGAAGAGTTTCTTAAGGTAAGAAAGTTCAAGGTATACAAAATGGTGTCTCCTCCATATTATCTACTTATTAGTTTCAATGTTGTTTCACTGAATTCATTTCTCATGGTTTGTGCTTACACGCATGGAGTTGTCAAAAGACATAAGTCATCAATGAAATGCTTATAATCTAATAAAAACAAAACACAAAATAATTCTTGGTTTACCTCTCTCTAGTCCCGAGATCTGATTTTTCAGGGTTTCCTTGTGCTGCTCCACTTCTCCCTTTTGATCTTCAATCTGGTGCAATTTCTTATGGATTTGTTCTCTGATTTTGTTGAGCTTCCCAATGTCAAGGCGCATCTGATGGACTTCTTCTTCTTTGGCCTGAAATTAGTAAGAGAGGATTACCAGGGATACTTTGTCAGTAAAGGATCGGTGATTGATGATGGTAAACTCAGAATCAATAGAAGAACATTCTTTCTAGGTCAGTGCAGAATTATTCTGTGGGATTAAATCAAAACACACACTGTGTAGTTTTTGAGAGAAATCGAAAAACTCTAGTCTCTAAATAAAATACATGGTTAAATGAGCTAAAAACAACGAAAAAGACACCTGATGTCTCAAGATACCATTGAATCACTGAATCAAACAATATAAGAATGCTCAGTTGTATGCATCATAAATGTGTGAAATTTATGTACAAATGTTGTATTGATTACCAACTTTAAGACTCACAAACTGATCTCTCTTGGAGGTTATTAACATCCTGTAAAATATTCAGTCTTTTGGATCCACATTGCCACTGTGGAATAATTACACACAACAGAAAAGCACTCTCCCCTTCCTCAAAGTACATTAGTCTTGTTCTTCAGTAGCTCAGTCATGTCTGACACTTTGCAACCTCATGGACTGCAGCATGCCAGGCTTCCTGTCCTTCACTATTTCCCAGAGTTTGCTCAAACTCATGTCCATTGAGTCAGTGATGCCATCCAACCATCTCATCCTCCGTCGTCCCCTTCTCCTGCCTTCAATCTTTCCCAGCATCAGGGTATTTTCCAATGAGTCAGCTCTTTGCATCAGGTGAATACTTGGTGAAGTACTGGAGCTTCATCTTCAGTATCAGTCTTTCCAATGAGTATTCAGGGTTGGTTTTCTTTAAGATTGACTGGTATGATCACCTTGCTCTCCAAAGGACTCTTCAGCATCACAGTCTGAAAGCATCAGTTCTTCAGCACTCAGCCTTTTTTATTGTCCAGCTCTCACATCCATACATGACTGCTGGAAAAATCATAGCTTTGACTAGATGGACCTTTGTTAGCAAAGTAATGTCTCTGCTTTTTAATACGCTGTCTAGGTTTATCATAGCTTTTCTTCCAAGGAGCAAGCATCTTTTAATTTCATGGCTGCAGTCCCCATATGCAGTGATTTTGGAGCCCAAGAAAATAAAGTCTGTCACTGTTTCCATTGTGTCCCCATCTATTGCCATGAAGTGATGGGACTGGATGTCATGATCTTCATTTTTCGAACATTGAGTTTTAAGCCAGCTTTTTCACTCTCCTCTTCAACCTTCATCAAGAGACTCTTTAGTTCATCTTCGCTTTCTGCCATAAGGGTGGTGTCATCTGCATATCTGAGGTTATTGATATTTCTCCTGGCAATCTTGATTCCAGCTTGTGCTTCACTCAGCCTGGCATTTCGTATGATGTAGTCTGCATATAAGTTAAATAAGCAGAGTGACAATATACAGCCTTGATGTAATCCTTTTCCAGTTGGAACCAGTCCATTATTCCATATCTGGTTCTAACTGTTGCTTCTTGACCTGCATACAGGTTTCTCAGGAAGCAGGTAAGATGTCTTTAAGAATTTTCCACAGTTTGTTGTGATCCATACAGTCAAAGGCTTTAGCATAATCAATGAAACAGAAGTAGACCTTTTTCTGTTTTCTTTTTTTTTTCATTTATTTTTATTAGTTGGAGGCTAATTATGTTTTTCTGGAATTCTTGCACTTTTTCTATGATCCAGTGGATTTTGGCAATATGATTCAGATGGTCATTATATCTATTACTGTAGGCAAAAATCCCTTAGAAGAAATGGAGTAGCCCTTATAGTCAACAAAAGAGTCCAAAATGCAGTACTTGAGTGCAATCTCAAAAATGACAGGATAATCTCGGTTCCTTTCCAAGGCAAACCATTCAACATCACAGGAACCCAAGTCTATAGCCTAACCACCTAACCACTAATGCTGAAGAAGCTGAAGTTGAACAATTATATGAAGACCTACAAGACCTTCTAGAACTAACACCAATAAAAAGATGTCCTTTTCATCATAGGGGACTGGAATGCAAAAGTAGGAAGTCAAGAGATACCTGGAGTAACAGGCAAGTTTGGCCCTGGAGTACAGAAAGAAGCAGGCCAAAGGCTAACAGTTTTGCCAAGAGAATGCACTGGTCATAGCAAACACTCTCTTCCAACAACACAAGACAACTCTACACATGGACATCACCAGATGGTAAATATAAAAATCAGACTGATTATATTCTTTGTAGCCAAAGATGGAGAAGCTCTATACAGTCAGCAAAAATAAGACCAGGAGCTGACTGTGGCTCAGCTCATGAACTCCTTACAGCAAAATTCAGACTGAAATTGCAGAAAGTAGGGAAAACCATTAGGCCATTCAGGTATGATCTAAATCAAATCCCTTATGATTGTACAGTGGAAGTGACAAATAGATTCAAGGAATTAGACCTGATAGACAGAGTGCCTGTAGAACTATGGACAAAGGTTTGTAACACAGTACAGGAGGCAGAGATCAAAACCATCCCCAAGAAAAAGAAATGCAAAAAGGCAAAATGGCTGTCTGAGGAGGCCTTACAAATAGCTGTGAAAAGAAGAGAAATGAAAGGCAAAGGAGAAAAGGAAAGATACACCCTGAATATAGAATTCCAAAGAACAGCAAGGAGGATAAAAAAGTCTTTTTAAGTGAAAAATTTCAAAGGAATAGAGGAAAACAATAGAATGGGAAAGACTAGAGATCTCTTCAAGAAAATTAGAGATACCAAGGGAATATTTCATGCAAAGATGGACACAATAAATGACAAATGGTATGGGCCTAACAGAAGCAGAAGATATTAAGAAGAGGTGGCAAGAATACACAGAAGAACTACGCAAAAAAGTCTTCATGACCCAGATAATCAACAATAGTATGATACTCACCTAGAACCAGACAGCCTAGAGTGTGAAGTCAAGAGGGCATAAGGAAGCATCACTACAAAGCTAGTGGAGGCAATGGAATTCCAGTTGAGCCATTTCAAATCCTAAAAGATGATGCTGTGAAAGTACTGCACTCAATATGCCAGCAAATTTGGAAAACTCAGCAGTGGCCACAGGACTGGAAAACATCTGTTTTCATTCCAATCCCAAAGAGGGGCAATGCCAAAGAATGTTCAAACTACTACACAATTGCACTCATTCCACATGCTAGCAAAGTAATGCTCAAAATCCTTCAAGCTAGGCTTCAACAGTATGTGAATTGAGAACTTCCAAATGTACAAGCTGGATTCAGAAAAGGCAGAGGAACCAGAAATCAAATTGTCAACATCTGTTGGATCACAAAAAAACCAAGAGAATTCCAGAAAAACATCTACTTCTGCAGAGAACGTTAGTCTATGACTGTCCATATGGACAGGAGGACAAGGTGGCATTAATGAGCAAGTCTACACGATATCAAAAGGTATCAAAATGACAATTCTAGCAAAGTAAAGCACCAGATTTTTGTCTCTGGACTTCAAGTTTTATGAATTTTTTTTAATTTGTCATTCTTAGAAACTAGTTGATTTTCTGAAAATAAAGAGTAGCAATTATCCCCAGTTTTGACAATGAAGAGACAGCACTTAGCTGGTCATATTATGCTCAGATCACTGCTAGAACCAGAATCCCAGAGGTTTAGAATCTCATAACAAAATATTCCATCTTTCAAGGTGCCCCATGCATGTTACCAAAGGAGAGAATTATTGACTTAAGTACTTTTACTTTGATTTCACCTTAGGGGCTAATACATTATTTTGCCTTCAGCAGTCATTTCATTTCTGCTTTAACTTGGAGCATTCTCATAAAGGACAGTGAGTCAAGCCTTTCTGGACTGCTTAAATGTTCCTCAGCCTCAGATCCTGTGGGGTCCAAATTAGTTCATCTAAGATCTCTTTCAATTAAAAAATAAAATGTTCTAATTCAGTAGTTATTAATCTAGACCTGATAGTGATACTTCAGAAAAATTCTGTAAATTTCTAAGACAGCATGCAAAATAATATGTAAGATGTACTAATATTAGTAAGGGTGTGTATGTATGTATGTGTGTGTGCACGCACACACATGCTTTTATCAGATTCCCAAAAGGGGCTGTGACACAAAAACTGTTAAGATTTACTACTCGAATCAATGTATTTTTGTGATTAGTCATTGCTGAGTATTCTAACAATACTAGAATAAGGTTTATGGATTTTTTAGAACTGCTGATAAACATAAAGCCACTCTGCTAAGCATGTAGGCAGACAATATGTATCCAAGTATAAAATGGTTATCCAAACTTAATTTGCAAGCACTCTTCAGTGAAGGGAGGCCATTCTTGAAATTTACACTGGACAGAAGTGAAAATCATGATTCTGAAGTCCTAAGAGTAGACACCAAACAGTAGCAGTCCATTCCCCACCCCTCCCATTCCATGCAAGCAGTGAAATATAATCTGACTTCTTTGTCACTCACATGTGTAACTGGTTTCTTGCTCTGGGCAACTGGTTACTTGCAAGGCTGAACTAGAGAGATGAACATCTGAGCTCGCTTTGGAAAATATCTGCATAATCATATGACCAAGAATCAGCTTTGCAATGTTTTAAGAATGGACGCTATTATATTAAACTGCTTCTGGCATAAAGCAATCACTGTAGGTTTACACCTGCCTCTGATGGACCAAGGCTAATGCAGATTATGCAACCAAGGGCTCCCAACAGCAGCGATCAACCTGTATTTATACTAATAGGGAATGAAAAAGGGCGCGCCAAGGAACAGATATGTCACTGAGAGTTTACTTTGAGCTCCAACGCCTTCTGCTGGTTTTCTTGGGATAGCTGCTCACAAACCAAACTGTGCTGTTCGTTCTCTTGCTGAAGTTTAGCATTTCTCATCTGAAACTGCTCCAGCTCCTTTGCGGCTCTCTCATTAAGTATCTGAAAGATGCAGAACAAGCTGGTTAATGCTTTTACAGGGGCTGCATACCCACACAGGAGGCCATGCAGACCTCCTGGGAAAGGCAAGGCAACCACCCATTTTTTCATCTTTGCAGAAATGGTTCTTGCTCCCCAGTGAAAGCACAAATGCACTCAAATATGATGACTGCTGAATGGCTGAGGGAAATGATGCCTTCTAATGAATAACACAGAGAGCATAATTTTTTTTTTTTTCTGGGAGCCTTGGGAAGTCTTGTTCACAGGTGGTGGATAAATATTTTAATGCCTGTTTGCCATTTGGCAGGCTTCGCATACGCAACAATTGCTATAATCATTGCAAATGAGCTAGAGATTCAAGCAGGCTTTATCGGCTATGGGGCTCAGAAGCTACATCTTCAGAAGCAAATCCTGCATTAACATGCCTATGATATTTTCGTGAACAGAACCTTTCACTAAACACCAACACAAGAGACAATTCTCCTTAATCCAACTTAAGTCAAAACTGTGGAACGGTAGTGGAATGATTTATAACTGCCTGACTTCAGAGTCAGTTTGATTTTCCTCTTCCTTACCTTGACTATCCTGAGAAGATATGGTTTCATAAATACATATTTATAAACACACATATTTTGGGAGGTCATCTCTGTTGGGAAAATAGTGGGGAGATGAAGGGATATCAAAAAGGTTAAAGGGGGGAAAAGGGTGAGAAGATAGTTTAGAAAACACTTATTCCAATTAACTTCCAGTCAAGCAAAAGTTAAACACAGAAAGAATCCATCCAACTTCCCATCAATAAGGACTAAATAAGCTTTTCCACGGGTCCTGACTATTGTTTTATGGTGACCAAAAACCTCTCAAAGAAAGGTTTTCATAATCAAAGAAAGCCTCATGTTGTTCTCATGGATATTCCACATCACATATTATCTACTTGATATCTGGCTTTATGTAAAATTAATAAAGCAACTGATGAATGTGCTCTAATATCTAATTTTTTAAGTAGAAAAATGCTGGATGGCTTGAAAAATAGTTTGGAAACTTCTGAAAAGAACATACTTTCAAGAAATGATTTTTTCAATTACATGAATTGGTTCTTTAAGCAATTAGAAAAGACAGATTAGTATTTGTGTTACCTTAAACTGTTACTAGAGAGGAAATGTTAGAAAAGTATCATATTTAGCATAAAGACTGTGTGTGGTTTTCCAAACTTGAAACTTAAAAATAAGCATGTTAAAAATAAATCATGTTATATTTACAAGCTGGAATGCTCTGTCCAATAGAACTTTCTGCAATGAACTAAATGTTCTCTCTTCTGCGTATCTACTAGTCCCATGTGGCTATGAGCACTTGAAATGGTGTGACTGAGGAACCGAATTTTTTATTTTACTTGATTTTAAATAATTTACATGTAAATAGCCGTATGTGGTTAGCTACCACATTAGACAGTGTGGTTCTATAACTGTGGCAATAACATAAATGAATCTCACAAACACGATATGAGGAGAAAGACATTAGACACCAAAGAGTACGTCCTGTATGATTTCCTTTCTGTAAAGTACAGAAGCAGGCAAAACTAATGCCTGCTCAGAACTCGGAAGAGAGCTGACCTTTGTACTGGGAGGGGGCACAAAACAAGGAGGCTCCTGCAATGCTGTTTCTCCCAGGCTGGATACCAGTGTCCAAGATGTGTTCAAGGGCAGAAAATTCATCAAGCTGTACACCTGTGACTTACACACTTTTCTATGTGTTATGTTATACACCAATAAAATGGTAAAAAGAGATTAACCTGTTGGAGTACGGTGGTGGGGGTGGGGGGTGGGCGGGGAGAGGGCAGAGGACAGGGGAGGACATATCTACCATCAGTGTCATTCAAAGACCAAACACAGTGCTGCGTGTTGTGTTACCAACATCCATCAACATCCATAGAGAAGGGACTTGCTGCTTTCCAGAGGAAATTCAAGCATCACCTCTGGCCAGGCCCCACGGGGCAGCCCTGCCCAGCCCACCTTCTGCTCTTTCAGCTGCTGCTCCAGCCTCTGAAGCTCCTCCTTGCTCTTCTGAACATACTGCTGCAGCGCCTTGATTTCCGTCTGCCTGCTGTCCATGTCCGTCTGAATCTGCCTGAGCTCCTTCTCTAGTTTTTCTTTCTTCCGGGTCTCCCGTGAGGCTTCATTCTGACGTTGCTGGATTTCTTGTTGGAACTATGGGCACAGAAAGGACAGGCGGGGAAGAGATGAGCCCCTCTCCAGGACGAGTGTCAACAAGCTGAGCTTCTCCCTCTCTCAGATATTTTCAGGGCAGTGATTTTTCAGTAGTATTTCTCCTGTAGGAGTCATCTTTGAACCCCAATGGTCAAACTTTTCAAGAATATTCTGTATTGTTTTTCAGAGCCTCGGCACCAAATGTATACCCTGATGGTGGGAACAAATCCACAAAGAAAGGTATAAAGTCCAGTTAAATATGCAATCCCAGAGTTCTGGGGAGGTCAAACATGGAAAGAATTCATCCAACTCTCCATCAAAACAAAATAAAATGTAGCCAGCTACCCTAAATATGAAAATGTGTTTTCCATGAGTCCTGAATACTGCTAAACACAGTACTGTATAGTTTTATCATGATGGCCAGGTTCTATGAAAAGTCATTATCTTATCTCAGGAGGATTATAACAGGAGGAGTCTCCTGTTATTCTCCAGAAGCTTGCATTTGTGTACTATCTATTTGACCTCTGGCTTTATAGCAAAGTGTACGGAAGGATTCAGCTTGATGGCTTCCTCACAAAGGAGAAAGGCCAGGGGAACTGCTTCCACCATCCCCAGAGGCAGGGCATCCTGGCTGTCACAGGGGACACCTTCTTGGGCCAGAAATGTAAGCAGTGCCCTGTCTTGGTGACTTCTCAGGCAAAGACTATTGAGGAGAATGACTCAAATTAAAACTGCTCTTGCAAAAACAAACCAGAGAAACAAGCAGAACCATGGATGCCTTATCTGTGGCACAGCGGGGTAAATGAGAGAGAGGAACAAGACGGGAAGGGAGACGGGAAGGACAAAAGCTCCTCTGGAAGGTGATGTTTCTTCATCTTTCTCCCCGTGTTCAGAGCAGACCTGACTGAGGGTCTGCTCCGCCTCTTCCCTGGACCGCTCCATTTCCTGCTGCTGTTCAACGGTCTGAGCTAAGCACTCTCGTAATTTCACCACTTCTGACAACAGCTGGTCTCGCTCCTTTGTCACCTCTTCTTTGAACTTCAGCAAGTCCCGGATACTACGAGAGAAGAACACGGGAGTCAGACTTACCAGCCACAGCCATCTGCTCAGAGCTCCTATTTATCATCCTCTGAACTCCTTTTCATGGGAAAGACTTCCAGTCAAGGATCAACACTATTTCAAGTGTGAAAGAGAGATCTTTATCTCTGACATGGGAGCTATTTGTCAGTTGTTAACTGGAAAAAGAAGATGTTCCAGTAATAATATGCATAATATGATTCCTTTTCTTGTTTTTTAAGCAATTACAATCCATGTGTGTGTGCTATAGGCATTTTTATAGAAATCAAGATTAGGCACCAAACTGATAACCAGTTATCTCTGAGGAATGAAGTTTAAAGTGGAAGAGTTGACAGGCTGATTTTTACTTCTGACTTCCCATATTCCTGTTGTATTTGAATTTGTTACGATAAAACTATAGTTAACAAGAGCTATTGTTAGCTCTTGTAATTAACCCTAAGGAGATGTCAATTTAGGAAATTATTTGCTTAAGATATTCACTGGAAAGCTATAACCACAGCTATAAAGTCTAAAATGAAGCAAAAACTTAAGCAAAGAATACACATTGTCAGTTTTTTATTCATTCACTCATGAGATTCATTTCTCCCGAAGGGACATACCAAATAAAACATTCCCAAGAACAAAATTTGGCAAATGACTAGTGATGCCAGTTTTGGGAGGATGTGTGCATGCCTGCTAGGTCACTAGAGTTGTGTCCGACTCTGTGCAACGCTATGGACTGTAGCCTGCCAGGTTCCTCTGTCCATGGGATTCTCCAGGTAAGAATACTGGAGTGGACTGCCATGCCCTCCTCCAGGGGATCTTCCCGACCCAGAGATTGAACCAGCATCTCTTATGTCTCCTGCACTAGCATGCAGGTTCTTTACCACCTGGGAAACCCTTTGGGAGGGTACGTGGTAATATTTGTTGATATAAATTGTAAACCAGTTACCTCAGCATTTCAAAAACAATTACATATGACTTGGCATGACTTTCTTCAGAATTAGCATTTTGAAAGTAGAAAAACTGTGTCTGGTAAGACCTCTATAGCAGAATTCATCTAGAACAAGGCAGCTACTTTAGAGCTAAGGAACCAGAGAACTTGCATTTAAGATGCTTGTAGCTGACAGTCATCAAATGACTATTGGAAGCACAGTGACTGGATAACATGTATTGACCACGCTTTGATATGATTGTTTAATAAGGAACCCTCAAAATCACAAACTCTTCTCCAAAAAGACGATCTGGAATTCTAAGGTTACTGCAAAGACAGACTGCTACATCTAAGTACACTGTGGAAGATAAAATGCAAGCTGGATTCTTTCATCAGCCCTCCTACTCATCATGTTCTAATTTTCATTAAAAAATCCTCCTAACGAAATCAGCTCCCTCATGTTGCTCTTCAGTAGCTACTCTGATTGTATGTGACTTCTTTAACAAGAAAAACGGAGTCATTATGAACACCACATCTTCTGTTTATTTTTCCTAGTCCCTCCTGCATTTAGAACTATCTATCAACATAGGATAAATGTATCTAGAAAGCATAGGAAACCTAGGCAGCAGGTAAACATTGTCAAGGATGCCTAAGGAAGTGCATGCTCATTCCTCGTTCATTAATTAATGCAAGGTTTTGCATGCCCTGCAGAGTGTTAGGTTCATAGAGGGAAGGTCAAGATAGCTTTTTTCCTTCAAGGAGTTTACAGCTTAATGGGCAGAGAAGTGCAAATCATTTAAGTACAACATGGTAAGTGCCATCTTTGAGGGAAACATTGGGTCCTATGACAGGGTTCCCACCTGGCTCAGGTGGCAAAGAATCTGCCTGCCCATGCAGGAGCCACAGGAGACATGGATTCAATTCCTGGATCGGGAAGATCCCCTGGAGGAGGAAATGGCAGCCCACTCTAGTAGTCTTGCCAGGATAAACCCACAGAGGAGCCTGACAGGCTACAGTCCATGGGGTCACAGAGAGTCAGGCATGACTGAGCACAAGCATGAACTATTGGGTCCTACGGAAAACAGGGAACACAATGGCTCCTCTGCCTGGTCATTAGGTCTGGGGCTAGGGGCGAGGCTGGAATAGAGAAGCTGATGGTGATAAAGTTAAGATGCTGTTCAAGATGGGTCTTGAAGGATGAATAGTTGTTTACTGTGTGGAGAAGCGAAGAAAAGAGATCCGTGGCATGGAAAACAGTATGGCCAAATGCATAGAGACGTGGGCAAGCAAGGTGCTGCTGAGACGTGAGCAAGCATGGTGCTGCTGGATGCAAGTCTAGCAGGGCTGACTGGGGCAGATCTACGAAGGGCTTTGTATATGCAAGACTTTGGTCTTTATCCTTTGGAAATGGGTAGTTGTCGAGGGTGCAACGTGTTGGCAAGAGAAGCATGTAGTAGTACATGTTTGAGAAGCATAGGTCTAGTATGAAAGATGGTAAAGAGGGGAGATGTCTCCTTGAAGGCAGAGAGAACAGTTAGGAGTCTGCTGCCAAATCCTGCAGAGAATGGGGGACCCAGTGGTGATGGGGAGGAGGGGAAGAATGAAGTATGCTTAGAAGACTGAGTCAAAAAGACAAAACTTTAAGGGATGGAGGGGTAACAGGTGTGAAGAGCAAACTGTTTCCTGGCCTAGACCCTGAGGAAGTAGGAAGGATGGTGATACAGCTAGTCATGGGTCAAAGGATGTTTGGGAGGGGCTGGGAATCTGAGTAGAAAGTCAGCCATTTCCATTATATACAAGTTTCATAGAAATAAACTTAAAATCTTTACTCATTTTCAAACTGTATCGCTGACTTCATAGAACCAGAAGTTTGATAAAACCACAAATTAGTCCTGAGGGGACTTCCCTGGTGGTCCAATGGCTAAGACTCGGCACTCCCAATGCAGGGAGTCCAGGTTTGATCCCTGGTCAGTGAACTAGTTCCCACATACCACAGCTAAAGAGTTCACATGTTGCAACTAAGACCCAGAGCAGCCAAATAAATAAATAAATGTTTTTAGAAAAGAATATTTTTATTTAAAAAAGAAAAAAATGAAGTTCTTGGGGGTGGAAAAAGGGAGTATTAAAAAGAAAAAAAAATGCAGTAATAAACAAGAAACTATCTCTGGGAACCCAACAAGCAAGTGTCTTATGTTCACAAAGAACCAGCAAGCCCCAGGCTGTCTGTTGAAGAAGGGGGCCTGTGCAAAAGTAAAATGACCTACTTGCTATCTTGGTCCATGGACAGTCCAGACCCTTGCTCGACTAGTTTGGTTAGGTTCACGATTTCCTCTTTCAGGGCAAGAATCGTCTCCTTTGCCTTCTGCTCTTTATCATAGGCTGAATCCACCATCTTCCAGGCCTTTTCAATTTCCTAGATGAGCCACAGGATATCAGTGAGAAAAACCAAACTAGGTTCCAGATGCAACATAAATTGAATATTTAGAATAATAAGTACAATATATAAGTTATTTACAGGAACAGAAGATTATACCTTATACACTATATATTAAATGTATATTGACTTACTGCATTTCTTGGCATGAGTTAGTCAAGACTGAGGAGCTGTTTTAAAGATGGAAACTGGCAAAGGATATTTTCTCTTGTGTAGGTGAATGTAGTTACAGGGTTCACATACTGCAAGAGTTGCTAGAATTAGTGGGATTATTTCTAATAAAGATGTTAAGAGATGTTTACAAAATCTAAAATGAAAGTTTATATGCTTTCCAAGTCCAGATGTTTTATAGAAAAAAAGGAATGGTCTTTGATCCAAGTCCTAAATGTGAAGCTCTTCATAAATTTCATATTAAGAATAAGCTTTGCCCTCAGGCCCTAAGTGATGGCAATGCGAACTTTAGAGCCATCTGTAGAAATGAGGCCTTGACTGTCACCTAATTGTACACAACAGCCTTGATAATTCCCATTTCCAGAAACCCAAACCTAGGCCTTCTCGTTGAATGCTTGTAGGGGAAAAGCAATACTATTTTGAATGCATTGTGGAATACTAACAGAAATACTTAAAAGAGAATCACAGGCTTTAGAGTACATGGATGAAGGACAGTAAATGTTGCAACAGACTTGAGTTTTGCCCTGCCACTTAATTTTCTTGCAAAATTTCATCAAGTGGAATATGAGCCCTTTCACACAAATAAGAATCTATATGTTTAAGGCGAAGATATTTTACTTTTATGTGACAAGGAATAAAATGAGTGGAAGAAAGTATTTAATTAAATAAATTCATCCCATTACATTAGAAAGAGATGATTCTTGGGTAACTGCAGCACATAAATTTAAGTGATTCAAAACAAAATGTCAGTTCATGGGATATTTTTTTCTGTAGCAACCATATGTACTATTTTCAGCAAAACAAAAGAAAGATATTTAAATGAAAATATGATTTATGAAGTTCTGTCTGAAGCAATTTCACCAATTATATTTTAGTCCATCATGACTTTAATTTCCAGTTTTTTAATTTACACTAAAAAGTGGGAGGGAGTTCTCATCATAAAATGATTTAAAGCCTTCTTATATTGGTATTCCTGCAAAGATTAGAAGAAAATAACAATAGAGAGAGAAAGACACTGAAAAAATTGGGGTACGTTTAACTGTATGATATCAAGGGAATTATCTGAACATTTTGTGATTATTTTTCAGCACTAGGGTTTCAATTATAAAATAAAATATCCTAACCTCTTATCACCCAACAATCTACAAGGAACGTTTGCGTTTCACCTTCAAAACAATGTAACATACTTAAGGATGAAAAAATAAAGTGTAAAATAAAGCCATACTTCCTCAATAACCACTCCTCCAGACTGAATCCCTATTCTCCCATTGTGAGAAACTGGGACAATCATTGCAGAAGCAAAAGGGTGATAAGAGAAAAGATCATAAAAACTACCATATGGAAATTCTCAAGGTAATCTCTCCCAAAATATTGACAAAAATAGGAACATGAAAATATCTTTAACAAGCTATCATCATAAGGTATTTAAATACTTATTTTTCTTCAAACAAGAGATACTGACATTCCTAATATTACACTTACTTATGGCCAAATGCTTTTTCTAACCCAGTATTTCCTAGAACCAAGTCAGTAAGGCTCTACATTATTTTCTACATAGTGAAATTCACTCAAGCAAGCTATTTTCTTCGAAAATGAAAATTTTCATTATTTTTCATAAAATTTCATAAAATTTTCAAAATTTTCATTATTCCCTAGGTTTAATGAATACATAAATCATGTAAATTTTTACTTAATAACTCTTTTACTACAGCCCAGAGCTGCCAATATCATGAAAGGATGATGTTTTAAAGATGGGATTTAAAGATGCATTTATGACAGCTCGCCATGGTTCCTTTTCTAGAAGATGACTGACCTTCTTCAGGGATGCGATGGTGGTCTGATCATCCTGAGAGAGCTTCAGGGCAGTGGCGACCTTAGCAGAATTAACCACGATCTCTGCGTTCAGCTCTCTGCACTTGGCCATCAGACGCTTTTCATTGTCATAAGACTTTTTCATGACGGCATGAAGCTTCTCATATTCAACCTTAAATTTCTCCAAACTTCTGTCCCCTGAGAGTTCATTGAGAACCTCCTGAAAATCCCTTTCGATTTCTTCATATGCAGTTTCCTCCAGCACTAGCTTTTCAGCCTTTTCCTGTTCAAAAAGTCAAAGATGAGAATGAAGATTGCAATATTTACCTCGTCACTATTCAGGAATGACTGCTATTACCCATGAATAAGACCTTCAAACAAGCAAAATAAAAGGTACTGATAAGCAGGTGATTTATATGAAGGTCTGCATATACATGGGCTTCTCCAGTGGTAAAGAATCCACCTGCCAATGAAGGAGACTCAGGAGACACTGGTTTGTTCCCTGGGTCGGGAAGATAACCTGGCGGAGGACATGGAAACCCACTTCAGTATTCTTGTCTGGAGAATCCCATGGATGGAGGAGCCTGGCAGGCTACAGTCCATAGGGTTGCAAAGAGTCGGACACGACTGAATGAGCATAAGCATTCTGCATATATGTATACATAAGCATAAGAATAATAATATTTCTTAATATTTCCTCCCACATAGTGCTAAGGATTAGATTAGATGGGATAATTCACATTAAACACTTAACCAAGTGCCTGGCAAATGGTAGATACTCAAAAATATCAGAGCTATTAATGATTATTCTAAGCCTGCTTCTTACCATCCCCAGGACTGCAGAGGGAAGCCACAGCATGCTGAGGTCAGACATAACATAGATACCATGAAATCACACTTACAATGAAACCTGTCCAGAATGTAGAGCATTCTATTTTAAAATACTCCATCATTTTTACCCCTTCAAAAATTAGCCTAGTTCATCTCCACAACAATTTTGAAATGCCCCCTGGGCAACGGTCATGGGCTTTCTCCACATTTGCTTTCTGTGATTAGCTGGGCAGCAAATTATTTAAAATAAAAGCATATAGATGTAATTCAAGCAAGTCTGACTTAGATGAGAACCAGGATTTAGTTATATAAGAATTGATATTTCCCTAGTGTTATGGGCAGAATTGTGTACCCTAGAGAAAGGACACAACTGAAGCGACTTAGCAGCAGCAGCAGAGAAAGGTATGCTGAAGTTCTAACCCCTAGTAACTGTGAATGTGACTTTATTTGGAAATAGAGTCATGGCATATACAATTAGGTTGAGGTCATACTGGAGTAGGGTGGATCCTAATACCATACGACTAGTGTCCTTATTCTTTAAGAAGGGAGGAATTTTTATAATTATGTGGGGTGATCGATGTTAACTAAACTCATTGTGGTAATGACTTCAAACTGTATACATAAATCAAGGGGGCTTCTCTGGTGGCACAGATGGTAAAGAATCTGTCTACAATGTGGGAGACCCAGATTCAACACCTGGGTTAGGAAGATTCCCTGGAAAAGGGAATATCAATCCATTCCAGCATTCTTGGACTTCCCTGGTAGCTCAGGGATAAAGAATCCACCAGTAACGCAGGAGCTGCAGGAGACATGGGTTCGATCTCTGGATTGGGAAGTTCCCTTGGAGGAGGGCATGGCAACTCACTCTAGTATTGTTTCCTGGAGAATCCCGTGGAGAGAAGAGCCTGGTGGGCCACAGTCCATGGGATCAAAAAGACTCGGACACGACTGAAGCGACTTAGCACACACACACACATATATCAAATCATTATGTTATACACCTAAAACTAATACAATGCTACATGTCAATCATATCTCAGTAAAAAAGTGGGGGGGGGGCGGGATTTGGACACAGATATACACATACACACAAGAACCCATGTGACAGATGGAGGCAAAGATTAAACTGATAAAGTTGCATGCCAAGGAAAACTCAGGATGGCTGGCTACCACCAAACGATAGGAAAAGGCAAGGAAGTATTTTATTCATAGTCTCAGAGGGAGCATGGCTCTGAAGACATCTTGATTTCAGACTTTTTAGTCTCCAGAACTATGGAATAATAAATTTCTGCTGTAAACTACCCAGTTTGTGGTACTATGTTACAGATGCCCTACCCAACGAATACACCTATTTCTTACTACAAATGGCATAATAATTAAAAAAAAAAAAAGAATGAGTATGGTTAACATATTTATTCAGAAAATACTGATTGAACATCTTCGGTATATAAGTTGGAATGAAGAGGCTAGAGGAGATACCAAAGTAAGGAATAAACAGCCTTCCCGTAGGAAATGTGTACATTAAGAGCTGATGCAGTATGTATGCGGTATGCAGAAAATAGAAACATGGAGTTTGATACCTGCCATAAAATGGATTCAAAATTCTATGAGGACCTATAGGAAGATGGAATTGCTCCCAGCAGCAAGAATTAAAGCCAATTTCATAAAGGAAGTGGCATTTGAGCAGGCATAAAAGGGAGATTGGAGTTTTCACAGGTAGAGGTGAAGACAAAGGGCATTCCTGGCCCACGGCAAAACTTGATCAAAGACTCAGGGCCAAGCAGGTATCCGTGATTTGAAACTGGTTTAGAAGCTCAAGTTAGCTAAAGAAGTATAATGTGGAGAGGGACAGAGACTAGACAGGGAGCTAGGGACAGACTGGACACCTTGAATAGCATGCTAAGGAATATAGAGCAAATTACTCTGGAAGCCACAGGTAACCACTTAACCTTTTGAGCAAAGAGCTGATAAGTTTTGAAAGGTCTTATTTATGTTTGTAACATTAAGCTTTGATATCTCCACTAAAACAGGCTTTAAAATCAAAACTATTGCTAACACTGTTGATGGGAATGTAAATTGCTACAGTCACTATGGAGAACAGTATGGGGACTTCTTAAAAAAACTACAAATAGAGCTACCATATGACCCAGCAATCCTACTCCTGGGCATGTATCTGGAGAAAACCATAATTCATTCAAATAGATACATGTATCCCAATGTTCACTGCAGCACTGTTAACAATAGCTAGGATATGGAAGCAACCTAAATGTCCATCAACAGAGAAATGGATAAAGAAGATGTGGTACAAGGTGGGATGGGGGAAGAGAGACTTGGGGAGAAGGGAGACTCAAGAGGGAGAGGATATATGTATACATACATACAGCTATTTCACTTTGTTGTATACCAGAAACTAACACTGCAAAGCAATTAAACTCCAATAATAAAAATTCTAAAAGATGTGGTACATATATACAATGGAATATTACTCAGCCATAAAAAGAATGAAATAATGCCATGTGCAGCAACATGGATGTACTTAGAGACTGCTGTACTGAGTGAAGTCAGTCAGACAGAAAAAGACAAATATCATATGTTATCTCTTATATGTGGAATCTAAAAAAAAGGTACAAATGAACCTATTTATAAAACAGAAATAGAATTACAGATGTTGAAAACAAACATGGTTATCAGGGGGTGAAGATGCAGGGGAGGGATAAATTGGGAGATTAGGATTGACATATACATACTACCATATACAAAATAGATAACTAATAACCCTCTATTGTACAGCACAGGGAACTGTGTTCAGTACACAATGTAATGACCTAAATGGGAAAAGAATCTTAAAAATAGTGGTTATATGTAAATGTTTACCTGATTCACTCTGCTGTAACCCAAAAATAACACAACATTGTAAATCAACTGTATTCCAATAATTTTTTTAACAAAAACCTCTATTGCCACTCAAAGAAATTAACTGACACAATCTCTAATCCCAATAATAAAGTAAAATTCAAATTCACCCTGCAGACTTTGGGTAAGTTGTCTAGTTTACCTTCTGCCCTGACAAACCTGTCTTTTCCAACAAAGAAAAAGTCTTCAAAAACACCTGTACTGTTGATTACACTTCTAAATATGACATGCAAGCAAAACAGAGTCTATATCTTAAACCAGATATGGAGTCACAAGCATATTTATAAAACATTTTGTATAACATTAGTATTAACACTAACAGTAAACTCAACAGAGGTTTTCTTCCTAACTTAAAAAGCAGATTATTGCAAAGATCACAATATAGCAATTCCACAAAGAAGAAAAACTCGTATTAAGGAATGGTGCTGCTGTTGCTGCTGCTACTGCTGCTAAGTCGCTTCAGTCATGTCCAACTCTGTGTGACCCCATAGACAGCAGCCCACCAGGCTCCTCTGTCCACAAGATTCTCTAGGCAAGAATACTGGAGTGGGTTGCCATTTCCTTCTCCAAGGAATGGTGTGGCTGCTGCTCAATGCTTTCCCCTTGTTGATGCTAAACATGAACACACAACAAACATTTATCCCATCAATGTTCTTCGTTTCCTCCCTGTAAATGGTATTTACCAGACATGGAACAAAAGACTGGTTCCAAATTGGGAAGGGAATACATCAAGGCTGTATATTGTCACCCTGCTTATTTAACTTATCTGCAGAGTACATCATGCGAAATGCTGGACTGCATGAAGCACAAGCTGGAATCAAGATTGCCAGGAGAAATATCAATAACCTCAGATATGCAGATGACACACCACCCTTATGGCAGAAAGTGAAGAACTAAAGAGCCTCTTGATGAAGGTTAAAGAGGAGAGTGAAAAAGCTGGCTTAAAACTCAACATTCAGAAAACGAAGATCATGGCATCTGGTCCCATCACTTCATGGCAAATAGTTCGAGAAATAATGGAAACAGTGACAGACTTTATTGCTTTGAACTCCAAAAATCACTGCAGATGGTGAGTGCTGCCATGAAATTAAAAGACACTTGCTCCTTGGAAGAAAAGCTATGACCAACCTAGACAGTATATTAAAAACAGAGACATTACTTTGCCAACAAAGGTCCTTCTAGTCAAAGCTATGGTTCTTCGAGCAGTCATGTATGGATGTGAGAGTTGGACTATAAAGAAAGCTGAGCATCAAAGAATTGATGCTTTTGAACTGTGGTGTTGGAGAAGACTCTTGAGAGTCCCTTGGACTGCAAGGAGATCAAACCAGTCAGTCCTAAAGGAAATCAGTCTTGAATATTCATTGGAAGGACTGGTATTGAAACTCCAATACTTTGGCCACCTGATGTGAAGAACTGACTCATTTGAAAAGACCCTGATGCAGGGAAAGATTGAAGGCAGGAGGAGAAGGGGATGACAGAGAATAAGATGGTTGGATGGCATCACCGACTCGATAGACATGAATTTGAGCAAGCTCCGGGAGTTGGTAACAGATAGGGGAAGCATGGCATGCTGCAGTCCATGGGATCACAAAGAGTCGGACACGACTGAGCAACTGAACTGAACTGAACTGAAACAGTATTAACATCAACACTTGATCACTGGCCTAAAGATTTGTTCACAAGAAAGGTTTTCCCTGTGTAGCTGGCACTTAGCACAGGCATGGAAAAATATCAAAGAAGAAAAGTTGTAAAGAAACTTTAAAAAAAAAAAGAAAAGAAACTTTTATGAACAAAAGAAATTTGTTTGTATTGTCATTTTAAAATATATTGCAATTCAAAGCAAAGCGAAAGTAATCTTTTAGCTGTGACCAATAACCAGTTGGTATCTACACTGTTTTAGCATATAATGGTATCTACTTGAGAAGCAGGATTTCAACATGAACTGATCAGAAAGGAGCTGTGATGTTCCTTCATACAACACTGATTTGGGTGTGTACTATTAGCCAGGCACTGTTCTAGGTGCTGAGAGTAGTGGGGAAAAGGGAAAAGAAGAAAAGAGTTGCAGTGAAAAATTAGGCTGCATGGACATGAAGACTTATGAAAGCAAAAAGTGAAGTTGCTCAGTAGTATCCGATTCTGCGACCCTGTGGACTGTAGCCTACCAGACTCCTCTGTCCATGGGATTTTCCAGGCAAGGGTACTGGAGTGGGTTGCCATTTCCTTCTCCAGGGTATAAAAGCAAAGGTGAGGAAAATTTGACTGAGGTCAGGTGAAAAGAAAAATAGATGAAAAAAATGACAGTAGATTATGAAAGGAAAGAGAGACAGGAAAATAATTAGTTTATAGTATTGATATCTGGGGCTTACATAGTGAAAATGAAGAAGAATGAAATAAACCAAGAGGACTACTGGGGGGAAAAGAGGAAATAAAGGAAAAATTAAAGAACTAGAAAGAACAGGAGGAGGAAATGGGAAGAAAAGAGGTATGAATGAGTGTGGGTACTGAAGGTAATAAATTTGGCCTTGGATGGACAACAAACACATGAAAAAAAGCTCAACATCACTCATTATTAGAGAAATGCAAATCTAATACAGTGAGGTATTACCTCACACCAGTCAAAATGGCCATCATCAAGAAATCTACAAACAACAAATGCTGAATAGGATGTGGAGAAAAGGGAACCCTCTCACACTGTTAGTAGGAATGTAAATTGAGAGAGCTACTGTGGAGAACAGTATAGAAATTCCTTAAAAAACTAGGAATAAAACTACCATATGATCCAGCAATCCCATGACTGGGCATATACTCTGGAAAACCATAACTCAAAAACATCTATGTTCCTCTATGTTCATTGCAGCACTATTTACAATAGCTAGGACATGGAAGCAACCTAGATGTCCATTAACAGATGAATAAAGAAGCTGTGGTACACATATACAATGGAATATTACTCAGCCACAAAAAGGAGCAAATTTGAGTCAATTGAACTGAGGCAGACGAACATAGAGCCTGTTATACAGAGTAAAGTAAGTCAGAAAGAAAAACAAGTATTGTGTATTAACACATAAACATGGAATCTAGAAAAATGGTACTGATGAACCTATTTGCAGGGCAAAAATAGAGACACAGATGTAGAGAATGGACTTAAAGACACAGCCGAGGAAAAGGAGAGGGTGGGACAAATTGAGAGAGTATCAATGCCACATATACACCACCATGTGTAAAACAGACAGCTAGTGGGAAGTTGCCGTATAACACAAGGAGCTCAGCCCAGTGCTCTGTGATGATAGGGATAGGGGGTGGGAGGGAGGGAGGCTCTAGACGGAGGGGATACATGTATACTTCTGATTGATTCACACTGGTGTACAACAGAAACCAACAGAACACTGTAAATCAATTATCCTCCAATTAAAAGTAAATTTTTTAAAAAAGAAAGACATCTGGCAGGATGGATGAGAGTGATGGAGACTAGAGAGGGAAGCAGACGGAGAGTATGAGAGGGATTGTATGATAAGGAGAGAGAGCTATTGACCGTAAGAAGATGGAATTTGCAAGGGCAGACTAGGTGTGGAGGAGATAGCATGATGAGGGGATGTGAAAGGTGTAAAGGAGACCAAAGAAGGAATTAGAACAGGGGTATGACGGTAGTGAGAGAAGCTGGGACCAGGCCTGGCTTTGTGGGTATGTCAACTATTCAGTTGCAGGAGCCTCCTTGCTAAGATGTGCTCCACCCTTGGTTTATTGTTCTGCTCAAACCTGTTAATTTTCTTTTTTTAACATGAGACTCTGCATTTTCATTTTTCCTTGAACCCCACAAACTATGTAACTGATCCTGGCTGGGACTGACCATGCGATGAGAGAGATTGGAAAGGTCTCTGATGGAGTGATGAAGGATTTGAATTGGGGCCATAATGGATGAGGACTGTGACTGGCAAGTGAGGACAGGGATCTGAGGTTGTTCGGGTTATAAATGAGGGTGCTAAGGGACAGGCCGATGGACAGGGGAGCCGGGCGTGCTGCAGTCCATAGGGCCATAAAGAGTCCGGCACGACTTAGCTACTGAACAACAACAATGGACAGGCAAGGGTCACCAAACAGTTGCAGAAATAACCTCACATCAGTGAGGCTGAAGCTGGAGTGTGTTACAAAGTGGGGGAGTGAAAGGAAGCCATAAGATATTAACACAGTGGTCAGTGACAGCACAGGGCAGTAGTGATGGGCTGAAATGAGTAATGGGTGATCAGTTGATAGGGAATCGTGATGTGACCTGGTCAGTAAACAAGGTGGCACTGGATATTTATGAAGCCTTCTTCCAGGTTTCCCCATTCAGCAAGACATCAATATTTCTGTGTGTATCTCTCCTGTGGTTTCACCTTTCGACTCAAAATCTAGGAGTGGGGGCCTGTCATGTGTGAGGGGGGAACTTATGAAAGTCCATAAGTTTTTGCACCACGCCAAGTTTAACAGGGTGGGATGGCGTGGGGGAGGGTGTCCACCCAATGGAAGGAGGGGCAAGGAATAATGGACCCAGCGCCAAAGAGAACCGGAGCGGGGGCGGTAGGGAGTGCGGTTGTGGGTGGGGATAGGATGCTGACTGAGGGACCATTCGGAATCGGTGGATGTGACACGGGATAGCAGAAGAGAGACGACGGGGAGGGGTCGAAGGAGAGGCGACAGAGAAGGGGGCGCTGACTTCTGACCTCGGCCATCCTGGCGCGTTCTGCGGGTGGCCTCAGAGGCAGCTGTGGAGATCGCGGAAACTGGGCCGCAGGCTGAGAAGGGGGGCCGAAACCCGGCGCTCCGCGCGTCCCCCGGTCTCCTGGCAACCGCCTCGCCCGCTGGGGGCGCTAGCGAAGGTTCGCAAGGGGCGGCGCCTCCGAGGCGGGCGCCTGGGCCGCGCTCCGCAGAGCCGCGGGGGCATCCTGAATGGGGCGGGACCAGGGCTACGAGGCGCGGAGTCTCGGAGCGGCTGGGAGGAGTCCCGGCGTGTGCGGAAGTGAGCGGTACCCAAGGCCAAGGACACTCGGGTTGAGACCCGGGATTAGACCCGGGAGCCGGCAATGGAGAGCCAAGGGCTGACGCTGAGAAGATGTGGATCAGAGGGTTTGAATGAAGGAAAGCCCGGCAGTCTCCCTCTGCCTTCTGTCACAAAGTGACTCGGTCACGGGAGCAGGAAATATTCTCGGTTCGCGTCAATTCCAGCCCTTGTGAAGCAGCTACTGTGTGCAGGACGTAGGGTGGAGGGGGTGGGGGGGGAAGAGAACTAAGGTAGAGGAAACACAGACCCTGCCCCCAAAGGCTGTAGTCACTAGTGGTGAGGAAAGTAGGGTGCAGAGGTCGAGGCACCCTGAAAAAATACGTGGAGCCACGTCCTGAAAATCTGCCTAGTATCTGCTTTCTCTCTTCCTCCCTGTCCCTCCTCCTCCACTCCTTTAGACTTCAGGTGCAGGGTTGGAGTACTTAAACTCTTTAATTAAAGACCTCTCTCTTGTTTCCTTATTTTCTCATTTTCCCCACACCTCAACTTCAGCCTCCAGAGGAATTCATGCTACTGTGCTTGGGTATATGGGCTTCCCCGGGGGCTCCCACCTGCAATCCAGGAGACCTAGGAGACGCTGGTTGGATCCCTGGGTGGGAAAGATCACCTGGGTGAGACCATGGCAACCCACTCCAGTATTTTTGCCTAGAGAATCCCATGGACAGAGGAGCCCAGCAGGCTACAGTCCATAGGGTCACAAAGAGTTGGGACAGGACTGAAGCGACAGCCGGCACACACATGCCTGGGTATGTATTTTTGAAAGAATGTATAGCATTTTCATTACTGCACGTTTTTAATTGTAACAGTGGTATTGGACTTTAAGGATCATCCTGTTTTCTAGTTTTCACTCAGCTATTTTTTAAGGTTCTGTCCCTGTTTCGTAGGTGTTGTAATCCCAGTTCACTGCTTCTTGTGGCACTGCTTTCTGTGTTGGACATCCTTACCTTTTACTTTCAGCCCCACAGTGCTGGATACCAAGGCTGGCTCCACCTCTCCAGTATCATAAACAATGCAGCTATGGTCATCCTTGTCAGTGGTCTTTTATGGACCTATGAACAAACTCCTCTGAAATATATGCCTAGGAGTGAAACTGTGAAAACCAAAGGGGATACACGAGGCCATCATATTCAATTTGTCCTGCACAGACGCATCCAGCCAGCCAGCCAGTGGGGGCTGAAAAACAGACCCCTCCCTCGCCCATGTCATGCCCATGCTCTGCTGGAGGAAGACATGTCCTTTCCTTCCCACCAAAGCTTTGTTCCTTAGTCAAGCCGTGAACCTACAGGCTGTGATTATCCAGAGGGTATGCCCTCTTCAAATTCATACTGTGGTGGACAGTATTTTCCAAAGGCACAAAGGTACATAGTAGCCTGGCAGAAGCCCTGGGTACTTGACTTCACCAAATACTGCTAGACGGCACACCAGAACTGCTGCCCTATGCCACATTCCAGGGTGTCCCCTACTCCCATCCTTACCAGCATGCAGTGGTTTATTTATTCATAAATAGTTATATAGTGTTTACTAAGTGTCAGATACTATTCTCAGGGCCTTACAAATACTGATTCATCTAATTAGCCAGTTTCCTAATTTGTGTCAGTATCATGGAATTCATGTCAGCACATTGTTTTAATTTGCATTTCTCTATGAGTGAAATTGAGCAGTTCTTCGTACATTTATAAGCCACTTGGGGTCCCCTTCTGTGAATTGTCTATAGCCTTTGCCTATTTTTCTATTGCTCTTTTTGATTTGCAAGAGGTCTTTGTAACATCTAGACATTAATCTACTTTCAAAGACTGGCCATGTTGCTTGTGATATCCTTTGTAGAAGAATAATCTTAAATTTTATAGCCCTTCATCCTCTTTATGCTTTTTAGTATAATAAGTCCTTCTCAATCCCAAGGTTATAAATATATTCTCTATCATACTCTTCTATTAGCTTACTAATTTTACTTTTACATGTCTAGTTTAATCCATCTGGAGCCTTTCCCTTCTCCAGGGGATTTTCCCAACCCAGGGATCAAACCCAGGTCTCCTACATTGCAGGCGGATTCTTTACCAGCTGAGTCACAAGGAAAACCCAAGAATACTGGAGTGGGTAGCCTATCCCTTCCCCAGTGGACCTTCCGACCCAGGGATCAAACCAGGGTCTCCTGCATTGCAGGTGAATTCTTTACCAGCTGAGCTATCAGGGAAGCCCAATTAGCCTAATAATTTTCCTTTTACACATTTAGTTCTTTAATCCATCCATATATGGTGTGAGATAAGAATCCAGTTTTATTTTCCTCAATGGAATGAGTCCATTTTTCAACATCTTCCCCAAATATAGATGCGTCTGTTCTGAACTCTGGTTTATTCCTGTGTCAGCACCACAAGGTTTTATTACTTTGATTTTGTAGCCAGTCATAATAGTTAAAAGACAGAACATGCCTCCCTGCTCTGTCAAAATTGCACTGGCTATTCATGAATCTTTATTGCCCCATATACGTTTTCAGGATATTTTTCAAGTTCCTCATGACAAATGTTAATTGGAACTTCGTTGAACTTATGAGTTAATTTGAGGGAAATTAACTTTTGTACAGTGATATCTCATTCATGAACAGAGACTGTGTATGTGGTGGACAAATAGAACAAAATATGACTGAGCCACAGCGTGCAGGGAAATAGTGAAAGAGGTGGCACAGGAAGCTGGAGAAGCAGGTTGAACCAAACTTTAAGCCAAGTTAATAGAAATGAGGTGGAGATGGAGCAGGAAACTTGACTCAGGCTGCTTTGTGTTTACAGAAAACTTGATTACAACACTGGGACCAGCTCATGGGACCACCATAATCCAGACAAACTCCATAATAACATTGTTAAAGGTACACAGCCATAAAGAAAGACCTAGAGGGCCCTGGCCACCCGGATCTTGTACTGGTGTCACTTGTAGAGAGCTATGTGTCTTCCCACTGCCTGGGAGTTGCCGATGGGACAGTTTCACAAGCAGATGGCCTGCCAAGGTTGCAGCAGTTCAGTGCAGAAAACACTTTTGTATAAGCAACTACTACAGAACAATAGCTCCCAAGGCTGGCCATGGGAGCCACAGCAGCGAGTATGACTTTGTCTGCCCTTTGGCTTGGGGGGAAAGAAAGAAAAATCTACAATTAATTCTAACATGATGTGATGGTGTCATTTACAACAGACTCTGTTAACAGCAAGCACTATGGGTGCTCAGGGAATCTAGACACTGATACCTGAGAGTATTATTTATCATGTGGAGACAGAAAGACAGAACACAGACACTCGGAACCACTGGAGGTGGAAGGAACATGACATCTTTAATTCACAGGAAAGAGATGCAGGAGGACATCAAAAAGGATAGATGAGTGAATGGGAGGATGGGTGGCTTGACAATTTATGCTGATGAAAAAAAAATGCTTTGTGTCCCAATTTTCCAGGTTCCAGTCGAAGACTACTCACTACCAGGCTCCCCTTTGTTGCCGTAATTAAAAGGAGCGCTAGGTGGCATCGTACTACCAAAAGTCCTCGCCTTCTAGAGCCTTTGGGAGAAACTCTCCAGACTGGGTCAGCCCCTAATTTAGACAAGTGTGCTTCTGTCAATCTCAGTTCTCACTACACCCACTTAATTTGTTTACTGAGCACCTACTATATCCCTTCACACCATGAAAACTGAAGGGATCAAGTCTCTCCTCCCTAAAGGAGCAGAAGGGGAAGTAAAACATGCAGTGGCCCCTCCTCCACACACAAAAATCAGTCCAAGACATGATGCAGTAAGCACTGAAATGAGGCTGTCAGGATAGAACATCCTGTGTAATCTGGTCCCGTCAGCCGTCTGCTGCCTTCTCCCACCACTCACTTCTTGCTGCAATAGCTTCTTTTGATTCCTTGGATATGTCATGTTCTTCCCTGCTACCAATCTGGAATAATCGACCTTCCCTCTTCAACCTGGCTGACTCCCACCCATCCTTCCTTCAGATCTAACTTAGAGGACATTCCTGACCTGCTCCCAACACCACACTACCTTTTCAAGTACCTCTTTTTCTGCTTCTTGGACCATCCCATAATGGTAATTAACTATGGATTCATGGAAATAGCTGTTTCATATCTGTCCTTGCTGAACCCAAGTTCATGTCCCTAATGCACAGTGAGGCCAAACAAACTGAAATATCAGAATCTCCTTATTTAATGGGCAGACCACACTCAGAAAACCAGAACTCCCTGATGATTTGGGAGGCAGGGGCAGGCTACAAAGTGTGTGACTTTTTTCTGATTGGTTGGTGATGAGTTAACAAAGGTAGTGTTCCAGGAATCTCAAACATCAACCTTCAGGTTCCAACCAGTCTGGGTTCCTCCTGTTTGTGTTTAGACAGAAATTACCATCCCCTACCTGGGTGGATGCCCTAGTTCCAGTAGAAGAGATCAGATACATTATTATGTATACCATTTGAGGAGGAACTAGAACCCTGCTTTATGGCTGTGATGTTTCTCTTTTGTTTCTGAATTCCCTCCACTCCCCAATTAGTAACTGTTTGAATCTGCCCTTTAGTACTCAGGGAAGGTTAGGAGTCTGGAGCCTTTTTCCTACATTTAAGAAAGGAGAGGCTTTTGTATCCAGGAGGGTCCTGCTGTTTCATTTTTTCTACCAGGCTGTCAAACAACAAGAGAACAAGTATCACTTTCTTTCTTGTTCAGCCTGTCTCTATTGGTGTTATGGGCTAAACTGGATCTCCCTAAAATTCATATGTTGAATCCCTAACCCCCAGTACCTCGGAATGTGACTGTATTTGAGAAATATGGTCTTCGAAGAGGTGAATAAGTTAAAATGAGGCCATTAGGGTGGGCCCGAATGGCCAAATCTGACTCCTGTTCTTGTAAGAAAAGGAAATCTGGGCACACAAAGAGACACACAGATGAAAGATACGGCAAGAAAGCGAC